TAGTGACTGAAATCCATTGCTGCTTAGTGACATATGAAATGATTTTGGGTTTTAGTGGAGATGGTAATTTGAAAGCATCCACATCATAAAAGGCAGAACCACAAGTATCTTCAATCTGCATCCTTACTGATGATTTTCCCAGATCTGACCTAAAGAGTGAATGTGCTTCAAGAGCTTAACTACTGCCTTAGCTGAAGAAACAGTCTCTTTAAGTTAGAGTAAAAGCAGAATGGCAGAACACTGTCAGAAAAAGATGTTCAAGTCAGAGAGTACCTATATTGGCTGAATACGTTCTTCCTCAGAGATGCTGGCTGAATATTTTCCATGATAAAAAAACCTGGCTCAGCTAAGTTTATGTCACATTCATAATAGTTGGATAAAACAATCTGAGCCTGCTTATCTGCCATTTCTGATAATGTGGCATCACTCTGCTGTGCTTATCTTTTATATCAACTTTGCACTGTTACAAATGAGTACATCAGGTGAAAAACCATGATAAATTAGACTTATCTCTGTGTACAAGATTTTTTCTGAAAAAAATGAAAATAAGAAAAAAATAAGGATAGCTTATTCATTTTTTCTCAAAGGAATAGGAATTTATCCTTTTTTTCTTTCATACTACTAATGATTATTTTTAGCATAATTCAAAATTCTCAGAAGATTTGTGGTACATTTTTAGATTGGTTCTAACAGCGTAGGATTCTAAATAGAGGTTGAAAGCAAAAAACCTACAGTAAAGTGAAATAAAGATGTAAGAATTCACAGTAACAGCCATTAGCAATTATTTGTAAAAGAAGAAACATAGATTTCAGGTGAAACTTGCCAATACTGTGGTGTTTCACAGAAGGAGAATAGTTACTGCTCAATATAGGAAAGAACATGAAACAAACAAACAAACAAACAAACAAACAAAACCCCCAATATCTAGGAATACAATTTCATGGGCAGAATAACTTGAAATAAATATTAAAAGTATATTTTAATTGCTTTGTAAGTAAAAATAGTAAGTCAAGTTTAAGAGCTTATAGACTTTAAAGGTTAAAATAATTATTCTAAAATTATAAAGAAAATACTTTTACTAGGAAATTGAAGACATCATATGCTACTATGCAAGCTTACAAAACCTGAAAAATTGGGTGACTCTAACATGCTTCAGAAACTCAACAATTCCTTGTCTGTAAGATTTAGACCCTTCTTTTTGTTTTGTGAATACCTTAGACTATGATCCCTCCATCGGACCAAGAATTTTACTGAGAGTCTTGTGGGCATAGTGAAGGTCTTTCTTCTGCTGTGGACCCCAGAGTGGGATGCAATACTACTTGTGGGGTCTCACCAGAGTGGAGTGGAGGACGAGAGTATCGTGAGAGTATCTTGCTTCTGTTTGCTTCAGTGAAGAGTTCCTTGGTTACTCTGGACTGACTTCTAATGGTTATGTCTGATTTTCGTTCAAAGTATGAATTGACTTCAGTGAATAGCTTTTTTCTTTTCTCTAGCATCTCACAGGATCACAGAATGGTTGAGATTGGACAGGACCTCTGGAGGGGACTTTTTCCAACCCAACCTGCTCAAGCAGGGCCACTTGGAGCCCAGAACCATGACTTTTGAATATCTCCAAGAAGGAAGACCCCGACGCATCTCTGGGCAACCTATGCCAGTGATTGGTCACTCTCAGTGTAAAAAAAGTTTTCCTGCTGTTCAGAAGGAACCTCCTGTGCTTCAGTTTGGCACCACTGAGAAGAGCCTGCCCCCATAGTCTTTGCATCCTCCCTTCAAGTATTAATAAGCATTAATAAGATCCTACCTCAGCTTTCTCTTCCCCAGGCTGAGCAGAGCTCTAGTCCTAGCTGTCTCAGCTTTTCCCCATAGAAGAGATGCTCTGGTCCCTTAATCATCTTTGTGACCCTTTGCTGGACACTGTTCAGTAGCTCCATATACCTCTTGTATTGGGGAGATACGGAACTACTCTCTTCATACAAAACTACCAAACTTTTCAAAATATTCCAAACACAAGTTACATGTAAGATGCATTGGGATTTACTTTTGCTCCTTTTCTTCTAATTTACTAACATCAGATGATCGTAATATTTTCTCGGCGTAAGTTGATCCTAAGAGAGGTCAGAAGATCATTGCAGAGACAATTGATTTTTAAGCTTGTAGGCACCTATATAACAAAGATATCCAGATAAGGATATGCCAGACTACCATTTGTGAGACTTTTTCACACTTAAACCATTCAGCTGTGATTGTTCCACAAAGGACTAAGAAGTGCTATGTAGTTTTTCTACTGTTAGCAGAACAATAAACAGCCATTTGCAAAAGTGGTGTTGAATAAGCGTCTTCACACAGCTTGCATGCAAGTCTACAGGGGGCTCCAAAACTCTTTGCAGTTATATTTTTTGGATTAGTGTAATGCAATTTACATCAAAAACAATGTCTGAACATACTCATTTCTCTTCAATTAGGAATGAAGGAATAAAGGAAGGGAAGAAGGGAAGGAAGGAAGGAAGAAAATTGTAATATTGAATTCATTCATACATTCATCATTTCTTTTTCCATTTTTGGTCTGTAGGATTATTTTATCTGCTCTCATATGAACTGTAATTAATAGAATTAATAAGGTGCTTAGCCTGCATTGAAAGAAAATTAATGTTATTAGCCAGAGAACAACTCTCTAAGGCATGTCACACGCAGTGACATTATAACTGTGAATGCTTTAAACATTAAATTCTGTTATACACACATTGGTATGCAAACGCAGCACACATACATGATCCCAAAGCTTACCCAGAGACTTTGTATTCTGCATTTTTGACACGGACTGTAATCATACCCTTCAGTATTGGTTTAGTAAGTCACAAATATGAAATATTCAAAGCAGTATTTTATGCATGTGTCTTACAGGTTTTTCTCTTCCTAGCATGGAGATTGTCTTATAATTGAATTATTGGTAATTGATTCCCAATAAATAAACAGATGAAAATCGAATTGTCTCTTATTTAGAATTCTCATTCATTGTGGACTTCTCTGTCTTAATAGAAAGACTGTTACTTTCTCTATTGCAAATGGCAGCTAAAGTCTTCTTACTGATTCCAGCTGATCTCTCAAATTAGAAATAATATTTCATTTGCATTTCATGGTCCAATCTTGATATAACTTTTTAATCACTGGTACCTGACAGTATTAACTTCTACTTGTAACTTCTAGTCTACATTTTTTTGGTATTAGTCATCCACAAGGGATTCCACAGTAACCAGACCCCCAGCTGAAACAAGATTTGATGCTTGTATACTAGTAAATGACAGCTGAGGATACATTTCCTGATTAAGCTAGCCCCTGATGCTCCTGTAATGAATTGTAAAGGGCAGTACACAAGGAAACTTGTTTATCTCCTCTGAGCTTGTTTAAAATTCCTGTTAGCACCATTAAGTTTGTATCTCTGATTTATCCCAAGCTTTTTTAATAATATGCTTCTGTGTTACAATTTGGTTTGTTTGACACATCTCCTAAGAGCCTGTGGTCATTCTGGAAGAAAGCAGTGGTTTTAAATCTGTTACCACCTCTGAATCATTAAATAGCTGAAAACAGCAGCATGTCAGCTGCCCTAGTTTTCAACTTGCTGTTTAAGCCCAGGAGCCACTCTCCTGGAGGAGGCAGAAAAACATGATGGCAGCAGCAAACAACCAATTAGGTTGGAATAAGCTAAATACTGTAGAACAGAAAAAGAAATAGTAAAATCAATCACAGACAGTAAGTCCAGCTAATGCTCAGTAGCTTAATACAATGCAGATGCAAACAGAAATGACAACACATGCATACTTTTATCTAATGTGAAAACTTGATTGACCCAGTGCTGATGGCCACTATGGAAATGACAATGATTCAAGTTGTGATACAAGTGGAATGAAAGCCACTCTCTTTTTACAAAACCAGATTTGAAAAAAGAGGGTTTTTTCTGTTATCTCCACATGAAAACCCTTCCTCCCATATCACAAAGGTTTTCCCCATGTTTCAAATAGTGCACTAAATACATTACAAATCACTAAATGTGATTAAATCACAAATCACTAAATGTGCTCTGCTGCCTTTTGTCCCCTAGCTTCTGCAACCAGAATTCTTGATGAAAAATACGCAAGAAATTTACATGATGTTTAACTGCACATGCTTGCATAGTTTAAAAATATGTATGTACCAAAACTGAGTATCTGTTTATACCAACTTAATAAGGAAGCAACATGTTCTTGGAGAAAGCCAATTTACACTGAGTTGTACTGAGAACAGAATTGAGTTGGGGTATATGGGAAGGAGGAATGTAAGATCATGTTTAGCTCCTAATGCTACTATGCTTCAATCTATTTATTTTCAAATATGAACTGTTGTTGTACAGAAAGCCTGTTGAAAGATGTAATGATCGACTGCTCTCCAGCCTCAAAAAGAATGGAAGGCTCTGAAGGGCAAGTTGTTTGGTTTTGACTATTCTTCATGAACAGAAGATATATTTTTGGACCACACCTGAGTGATTTCACTAATTCAGAAAATTCATTAAAATAATTAGCAAATTACTTTTAGCAACAGTGCATATTGTAGTCACTTTATCTGAAAATGTTCTGGTATCAATGTAATGTGGTCACTTTTCAAATTAGTATATTGTTTTATGAAGACAACATTCAGAGGCCAAATAGCACCCAGAAGCTCATGGAGTTGGATTTAACTACTCTGCTTCAAATGTCTACAGTTATGGTGTCCACATCTCTGCTGAGACTATACTGTATAGAATACATTCACAGTCAAAGAAGAGAGCAGGCATTTGTAGGACACAATAAATTTGGATATTACAAGAAGTCAGATTATTGTGTCTTTTAAACAACTGTTTCTTTCCCCTAAGTATAAAAGACAAATATCTCAGATATACTGTAGACATCCAAACCACAGAAGCCTGTATTTGGTGAATATAAGTCTTCCATGAATTCCCTCTGCTGCTGTTAGAAGCACATGTAACATACCTACACTCCAATCCATTTCTTCCACTGCATCCCCATATAAACCATGTTTGCTCTTTCCTCTGAAATTTTTTGAAGCATATAGAGCAGTATGGACGTGAAGATAAGACAAGACAAGAAGAAACGGCGCCTCAGTGTTCCTGGGGAAAAAAAACAAAAAAAAAAGAAAGAAAACAACCCCCCAAACACTTAGTATATTTTATAACAAAATTTCTAACAAACCAACAAAACAACAGCAACAAATAAAGGAGTTTGAAAAGGAATACTGTAACTGATTACAAGGTAATCCTGAACACACACACACACACACACACGCACGCACGCGCGCACACACACATGCACACACACACAGTAAAAGTGCAATAATAAATGACAAAACCAAACTAATTGCTGTTTACTATATATATTGAAAGAGTTGTTTAAAGCCAGGAACACAGCAGTTTCTGGCTTCATTTCACAAGTACGTATTTAAAAGTCCAAATACAGTTGCTGTTCAAAAACATACCTTCCAAACTATATATGCATATATATACAAGGAACGCAATCACCTTCCTCACGAAGTCATATGGAAGTTGGTAACTAGACTGTATGATGGCCAGGGTCAAACACACCGTAACATCATAACTATGTTAAACGAAGTATACTAGTACTTTTCCTCCTTCTATATCCTGAACTAAGGTATATTATCAAATCTCTTGTCATTTAATGCTCTCTCTGTGTATTCTCACATGAATAACAGTACATAACACTTTAAGTATGTTGTACCAAAGAATATGTAATCTCAAAGTACATGCTAATATAAAGATTTTTGCTTTCACGGTAATTAACAGTCTCCATTGTCTTCAGTCTATATCCTGAACTGATACAAAAGAAAGTGCAATAAATAAACTCTCTAAATTTTGCTCTTCATGTGATCTGTCAACATGGTGTTTATGATCAGTTCCAGCAGGCTGTGAAAGCACAGCTCAAGTAAGAACTCTTACTTATGCATTATTTATGGGAACTTTACTTAAAATTGTGCAGCACTAGCCAAATTTACTGCTATACGCTCTAACAGCATTTGTAGTGCATTATGCATATTGTAAATATCAGTTGAATCACAAAAGCACTACCCAGAAAACTTGTCTGGATCTCACCTTAAAGCACACAGTAAATTACAGCATATTTTTGGGTTTATCTCCCATATTTTCCCTCACCAGTCTGTGGTGGATAATACCTGTGATTCACATCAACATCAAAAGGAGACTATGTATTTCTACATGCAGTTGATTCACCCACCCTTTAAAGAGGGAAGGAACAATAGAGACATGCACACACAAACTGTTTCTTTAAAATGAAAGAAAAATATTCTAACCTCTAGAACCTTAAAACGAAGTCTTTAAATAAAAGAGATTAATCTGATATCAGTACTTTACTCTTCAGGAAAATAACTAGATATAATCTAGTATATTTATGATCCATTTTTCCTCTCTCCTAGGTTGGATCTGTTTTTACACAAGCTGCATGGTAAAAGCTTTCTTTTTCACTTGCATACGCAGCAGTACATAAACACAAAATGGGAAAATTTGATCCAGATTACTCACTTGAAAAGTGTGTTTATGACTGGGACTTTTTTTTTCCATATAAAGTTTCCCTTTTTTTAAAAAATAAATAAAAAAGACAGAATAAACAGAACACTTTTCATGTGGAAAATGGAAACAATTAATTGTCTTCAAATATTTGTGCGCATAACCTGTATTTTCTCAGTAGTATACAGTACAGACTCAAAAAAAAGAAAAAAAAAAAAAGACAATGTTTTTCATAAAATATACACTTTCCATGAAGTTGTGTTGCTATTTAAGAGGTCATGCATCTGAGAACCTTTTATTACTGTAACAATAAATAATATAAGACTTCTGAGTCAATCAAAAAGACTGGAAATATCAGCACTTCAAGTAAAAAAAAAGATATATACTTATAAGTAAGTTTAATATTTAATATGTACATTAATGTAACACTGACATTTCACTAAAGAACATTTCTGCAAGGCAGCTGATTCTCAGTTTACAACTTGCATTTTTTACTGCATAGGATTATCTCTTTTTCCTTAAAATCAGTTCACTGAATTGAGAGTAATAAACAAAGTCTAGAGCAAAACACCACAAAAATTTACTTTATACTTAAAATGGCATAGTCACAATTTACTGTCCATGATACTGCCTTTTTCTATGGTCACAGAGAGAGTGTATTACTCTAAATGTATACCTGTATTGCTAAAAGTGAGCATCTAAGGCCTCCATTGTAAATGTTATTTTCGAGAGATAATAATCCAGGTTTGTTTTGTGGGTTTTTTGTTGTTGTTTTTTTTTTCTTTTTTTAAAATGGAACTGACACAAAGATCTACCTTGCATGAAGAGCCATCTAATCAAGGATTGACATCGAAGGGCACTTCATCATTCTCTTCTTTGCAACTCAAATTGACATCATCTGATTGACAGTTAGCTATCAGGTGGAGAAGTGTCTCATCTATTAATATCCTATAAAAGATCAAAGGCAGCTATTTATCTCCTGCCAAAACTCTTTGAGGAGAATCATAACTGTCTACCTTTACCGTGACCTTGAAAATGGAATGACAATCGGGTAGTAGGCAGGAGAGAAATTTGACAATAACAACTTAACTCCTGAACCACTTCAGTAAACAGCTCCTTCAAAAATGTGTTGTCACTATGTTTTACACAGTTCTAACACAGAGAACTTCAGTTTCAAAAGATCAGAGATTCATTCACTCAAATATAGTAATTTATTTTTTTTATCATAACATGAATCACACAGTATTTTCAATCTACTGAGTAGTCAGAGATATTACATATATATGACATAACATATTCTTTCATGTGCATTTAACTGATCTTAAAAACATCTAAAAGCATCACGTTGCTGGTGACTCCTCTGCATTGTATAGTACTAGGTTCTTCATTTTTAGTGTGTACTTTTACATCACTCAGGGCTTCAGTTCAGGTTTGAGCTGTAAAGCACAGCTTTAAAGTGGGTGAGAGCAAGGTACAACCAATCTGACATTGTGCTTCACACATGGGTCTTTTAAATTTTTTCCTGCAATTGTGCTCTAGATGCTTGCTGCATTGAAAACTCCTTCGGTAATTTTGTTTACTTTTCTGTTCATTGATGTTAATCTAATAATCTAAGACTACTGCAGCAGAGCAACAGGTGGGGCTATGAATTTGTGTCCTGTACTTGTGAAATCAAACTGAGACTTCAAGTATGATTCTGTACTGGAAACGAGATGGGGATATGTAACCAGTAACGAGTGGTGTCCCTCAGGGATC